GAAATTGCTCGACGTCAACATGGAGCAGATACTGTTGATGCAATAACATTAATGAACAATTATAATTATTCTGATTATGATGGATTTAGTTTGTCTGAACAAGATGCTGAAGAATTATCGAAACGATTACAAATTGGAAAGTCAATTATCACATTCAATGCTAATCAAATTCGTGGTATTTGTTATTATTTTCTTGAATTATATAAATCATTTCGAAAAAATATTCTACTTCAACATGATATTGCCCTAGAAGAATTCATACTTAATTCGAAACAAATGGTCGTGCTACTTGAATTCTATCTACAACTAGATGGTGAGACATCTTCAAATATATACATTTAAAGTATTTTATTCTTTAATATATTTTTGATACTTGTTAGTCGATATATTCTACATGAAAACTTGTTCGTTTCGTGAAACTGAACCACAATCCATCATGGAAGGTCTATTCTGTGGAAAGGTTGAACCGCATGCACGATGTACAGTGTCTCCATGTGTCAATCCATTTTGTTCATGTTGTCATGATTCATCCGCAACAGGTAATGGTGCACAACATCAATTAGGACCAGTCGTTGATTTCAATACAAGTTCAATGCATCAATTTTTGAATGGATATACGACATATCTTAATTGTCCAGCCGTATGTATTGTTTTCTTTTCATTATCATCCATATATATATTTTTAATGGTCTCAAAATGAAATATTTCTTGTTTAAATTTAGACATGTGCAACTCCAAATATAATCTATACAATGACATGTCCATGTGGTTATTGTGATTATGTCGATTCAACTGCAAAGACATTAATTGATGCAGTAGTTTGTATGTATAACTATGATCATCAACATGACTATGTTCATTTATATTTTCTTCTGTTATTTTTGATATAGATCATCGAAAACATGGTAATCGAATTATACATGAAATGTTAACTGGTATATGTCGATCTTCACGCACACTATTCGATCCAAACGAAAGCGAGTAAGCAGAAGACAAAAAAAACGACGGATATAATTTTTTTTGATAAGTTAATGTTCATAATACTTTTATTGTAGAAACAAAATGGCCAATAAAATGCGTCTCTATCAACATTCAGCAAGATGTCCAGCAGCACTTCGTTTGTTTCTCAATTGCAATCCGAACTATTTATGTTTTATTCCTATGGTTCGATATCAGGCTCAAGCTAAAAACATTGCTTATATTCGACAAACAAGAGTAAATTCTGTCTCGTCGGCCACCTCCTCCGCCGCCACCACCACCACCACCACCTCATCTTCCTTCTATGAAACAACAGGTGTTCAATTTAGTAATTTAACGGCGATGAGTCCTATTAGTAGAAATCCTAGAGTAACTCATTATCTTAATCATGTACCACTACCACCTTCGACTATCTATGAGTTTTCATATGAACAAAGACAAGAACAATATTTATTTTTCAAAGAATTTCTCTCGTCTTCTAATGATCAATTTCCATATTCTGTAGTGAACTTGTATAAAATAGCAATTATTGCCGTTTGTAAGTGCATATTGATTTTGGTTTATGATGATGGTGACTATATATTTTTCTTCTCTTTTTTTTTTCATTTATTCAACACTCATCCAGTGCCTGATGATTGTTCGAGTACACTACGATACATTATTGAAACACTGTTCATTATTCATGGTGAAACTAAATTAAATATGATTTGTCCTATTGGTGGTGATCCTGAACAACG